ATTCCTGCACTGGAAGTGTTAATGGCGCTTTTCATCAGTTCTTTGATCTGAGGACAAATTGCAGGTGTATGAAGTACTGGCTGTGCTAAAAAGACAAGGGGAGACTCTGTGCGATTTTTTGTTCCCCTTCTGGTTCTTTCGCTTTCACAAATCACAGGACTTTATTTATGCCTAAATTCCCTTTTAAAATCTGGACTTCACAAGGTCTGCAAGAATAGTCATATTTTGCTGACAGGCTTGAATGCTGCAAGGTTTTTTAATTATTTGTATTACAGCACGTCCCAGCTGGGCCAGATGCACTTGCTGTTGAATCCTCACCTTCACACACCAGCCCTGCTACATACAGACACACAAGAACATTAAGACAGGTCTATGCAGCATCTCTGTACACTGAAGAAGTTATCACCACACTAAATGATGTTTTCATAAACAACGCGATGTTTTGAAACAGAATCAAGTTGGACAAATAATCAGTGTTCTTTAAAGTGTAATCTGTAATCGGCAGCTCTTTTCCTATGATAAAGTAAGGCCGTGCTTATGGAGGTTGTCTTTACGACAGCACTCCCTGATAACTCATATGTTGGGACACAGTGAGATGCATTGGTGAAGCTGTGGCAATCCAAAGATTAATTCATTAATTCTCTACCCTGAGAAGTGGCCACTCTGGCCTGGAGGTGGGAGGCAGCCCTAAGACCCATCTGTCACCTCAGCAGGATTCATGCTGAGCCTCAGAGGCAAATTGACTTTGGTTTTGCCTATCAGAGGCCATGAGGGAAAGCAGCAGCAATCATTGTCCTCCCCAGGGACACTTTCTTCAGCTGTGCAGGGAATCCTCCTGATGTCAAGAGAGATATGGTGTCCACCTCCCTTATTTGTGTACCACTCAGTCTGCTCTGGTCTGACAGAGGAATATTTGGATTTGTGAAACGACCAAACCTGGTAGTAGGAGACAATTTTTTTCCCCACACATTCCCATCCAACACAGTAACTGTTATGACTGTCTCATGAAAGTTTTAGATCAGAGTGTATTCTGAAGACTAACCAACTACACTCATGGGATCATCTGGTTTTACATGTAACTCCCTGTCACACAGTAATATCTGGTAAGTTTTTAGTCTTGCCAGTATGCTGAAACTCTTTTTAGCTTTACTACTGAAGTTAAAAAGCAGAACAAAAATGCCTAATTTGAGAATGTATTTCCATACACCAATACACAGAATTCAAAACCAGAAGATTTAAATTCTCAAACTGCAAATGAAAAGTTCTCAAGTAGCATTACATGCTTCTGAATGAACTAGAGGAGACCTATGCTATCCTAGCACAAACAATACCATACCAAACAAATCAATATGATTCTGTGGGACCTCAGGCAGGCAAATATCAATTGCATGATATTTAGGTTTTGCATTCTGTGTCTCCTAAAAGCAAAAATGGCTCTTCGGCTCAAAAGGTTTAGGTATTCACAACAGCTGCATGCTTTGGAATGTTAAGAAAGCAAAGGCAAAGGTAAATGCAAATGAAAGACAACCGAGTAATTAAAAGCCTATAAAGATTTTTCAACCCTTTCAGAGGAAATGTACGCTCTTTATGACTGCGTGTGTTCTTTCACCTTAAGGAATGAAGCCTTTATAATATAAAGCAAAATACAGTTCAGTAATTCTGTCCCAGTTATTTTAAATTCTCCTCAAGGCCCAGTTGAGGCCACATTTGTCCATGTATCCAGGACAGAGCTCTCCAAAAGCAAACTGGCCAGTACTGCTTTGTCTGTTGGGTGGTCACCCTGCAGGGTAACGCTCTGGGAAACATTTTCTTAGGGTTTTCCAGAATTTCCTCAAATAACAAAACAGGAAGTCTAAGACTGATAGGAAGGGCAGCTGAGCTGCTCCTTACACAGAACCATGACCCTTTCCCACTACATCTGAAGCTCCATTCCTGACAGTGACCACCTGGAAAATGAGGTCCTTCTCCACTTCCATCTTCCCTGCATGTGGCTACCCTCAGGGTCCCCCAGGAACGAAGTGACTTTACTGAAGACCTCCTTCCTGTCCAGGGATTTCACTCTGTAAACTGAATGGGCTTTCTCTTCCTCAGCTTCCCTCATCTCTGGACATGCCTCTCTAACAACTGTGCCAAACTGAACACCCTTCTCAACAAGTATCTTCAATCTGATCAAGAGGCAAGAAGAAAGGTGCTGCTGAGGTGGCCAGAAAGAGAGATTTGTCATGTGGAAATGACTTGCACTCAGTAAACTCAACTTAGGACCGCATTTAGAGGTCTGCACTACTGTAATCAGCTTCACTGCATGGATTTGTTAGCTCCACTTTGTCCAACACAGAGATCTTTTAAGTCTAAATATTGCCACTAACACAAGAGAAGTTTTTTTGTTCAACAAAACAGGCCCCTGACAGTATCTCTCCCATGCACTCAACTCTTCATCCGCTGTCTCCCCTGCAGCAGGTAACCCTGTGGGATTGCACAGGTTCAGGCACCCAGAGGATGGTTATTTGTCTGCGTGGCCAACCTTTGACACTGAAAGAAGCTAAAAGTAACAAACTCTATCCAAATCAGAGGGCATTCAGATCGCAGATCAAAAGCATTCTGCAGTGCTGTAAGTGCTAATACCTGAATGGAAACAACTCCTGCAAGGCCTCTTGTCAGCTGTGGTCTGATGGTTGTTGAGGAGGTGAGGCTCAAGTCCCCCCATTTGGGCATTTACATGACACAGAACTGAGGCAAACCAGCAGAGATGAGTGGAAAAGCCTCTGTTATCTTGGCCCAAGCTATTTCCGCAGCGTACTCACAAGGATGTTAACCTGAATGAATTTCTGGAAAATGAGCTACCTCACAGCTCCATAATAATTACCTATGTGCAAACTTCTACTTTGTAGTAAACTTGAGATGATTGAAGGGGATTTGCACTGGAAGATCAATAGCTTTGTGTTTAAGAAGGTGGACTACAAATGTGCTATTGCAAGGGGAGCTGTGTTCAGCCTCCAGCCCAGCTCACCTTGCAGGGCCAAATTCATGTCACTGTCTCCTACATGAGTAACTCTGAATACTGCCAATCCAATGATTCTAGTTTTAAAAAGAGCTTACTGCAAGAAAGAACACCACAATTTAAATCACGCTTACCTGGTGAGGTCTGCTTAATTACACGTACTATCTGCTCATTCCTAGGATCCAAGTAGCTCATCTTACTGATATACTCCAGAGCTGCTTCAATACTTCTGCTACCCGTCTGCTTCAGTGCTCGGACAGCCATCTCCTGCACAAAGCAAACAAGCATTGAACCTCAGTGAGACAAAACCCAAGCACTGTACTGCAGGCTAGAAAGCAGTAAGGTCTTATACTTATAGAAACATTTCATAATTCACACCAGATCACAGCTGCCTGAAGCCAAACAGACTCATATTTTGAAAACATGTGCATGCCGTATACAACTCAAAAATTAAAAGGAGAAAACACAACCTACCCAAACTCTGGCAATTAAAGATGCACCAAATTGAAATGAGTACTTAGAGATCCCTTAAAATAAACTTTAAGTCAAATCTGGAAAAGGCAGCATAGTTTGACATGGGATGAAATAGAAGAAAATATTCAGCTTTTGGTATTGGAGAGCATGTCTCTTAGTCACACTTAAACACACTAAATGCTTTATGGTTTCACAGATGCCACAAGCAGCTATTTAGGCAGAGACTGGTTTCTGCTGAGCACATCCTGGCCCCACCAGAGTCAGTGGGGAAGAAAGATTGCTGCTTTCAGTACATTCTCTATCACTTTGGAAAATGACCAGCACACCAAACTGCATTTCACAGCTGGTCTTTTTAGCTGTATTTTATTGGGCACACATCCATGACTGAGAAGCCAGTATGGGTGCCAGACACACAACCTGAAAACGAAAACTGAGGTAAATATGAATACTCCAGTTAAACTACTGTAACTCAACCGTGGTTAGTGTCCCCTGCTCTACCGCCAGAAAGTCATATTCTTTTGGGGTTTTTTATATGTTTACTTCTAGCTCAGGTATATAGAATAACTATAAATGACGCTAGCCTCTGGTTGCAAAGCAAAATTCACAAATCCTTGCAAGGCTACGTGGTCTTTTCTGAAATGATGGAGACTGAAATCCAGAGCTTTACCATTAAATTCATATTGCTGAAGTTCAGCTGTCAAAAAGTCAGATACTTAGTCAAAAGTAGTTGCTGAGAATCTTTCTATAATCCCCTCCAAAATGCAATTCATAAACCAGATGTAACAGGACCTCTGGTGACAGAAGAAGACTAATTTGAATTGAACTCCTAGATCTTGGATAGCTGAAGTTGGATGAACTTCACGTCCCCATCAAGGACTTGCCTGCAAATGTCAGCATCCAATTATCTTGCCACTGTAGTGCCATTTTTACAGAATCACAGAATCACTAAGGTCAGAAGAGGCCTCTAAGATCATCAAGTCCAACCGTCAACCCAACACCACCATGGCCACTAAACCATGTCCTCAAGTGCCACATCCATGCACTTCTTGCACACCTCCAGGGATGGTGACTCCACCACCTCCCTGGGCAGCCTGATGCAGTGTTTGATCATTCTTTCAGTAACAAAATTTTTCCTAATAAAAAATTTTAGGGGAATTCTGTCATCACAACCTGCCTGCTGAGTGCTGAATCAGATGGAGTTTGTGCCTTCTTGGCTTGGCTTAGCAACTGCAGATGTGACAGCTGGGTTGGCACAAGCACATCGCTCTCCCCAGGGCAGTTCTGCACACTGGCCAGCAGTCAGGTCCCCCAGAATGTACGCCCCTTTCCCATAACATCTGGAGAAAAGAGTAACTTTGCTCAACTGCACTCATATACATAACTCCTAACATACTCACTAACTGTTTCCTTACCAAGGGAGTGTCATCATCTCCGATGACACTAATTCACACTTAGCACAGAGCCACACGCTGGCACTTGGCATTTTGCTTTGCTTAGCTCAGTCCCCTCCTACTCCCCCCCAGAATGGCAGCATTTGCTCCATTAGTCAGAGGTTCTGCTTGGGGAATAGCTATAGCAAGGTTGAATATTTTTCATACAATTTATGACTCATAATTCATAGAAAGGCAGGAGCTGGTTTCACATTTCCTATAGCTGAAATATTTCACTGGCATCAACACATTACTAAGGGCAATTTTAAATCAACAGAAAACTATTATGTATGAAGGAAAGAATTTCCCACAATGTTTTTCTCCTCTCTTTCTTTCTTTTTTCTTCTTCTGGATACATTTCTAAAGTATTAGCAAATACTCATCCTAGTGCTCAGCATTATCATCCAGGGACTCAGGGCTTTGCAGCCCAGTTCTACAGGGCTGCTAACACACTCTGCCCATTTACACCCCCAGATCTAGCTTTGGATTACAAGTCTTGCAGATTCCTAAATAAAATGTGTTCAATATGCAAGACTGAAAGATCTATAGCCTAGCTTGGATGTTGGGGTTTTTTTTGGTTTTGTCTGCAATGGAGCACCAAGAGAATAAGTGCTTGGTAAGCAATTATCTTAAAGATTAATAAAATAGCCCATATAATCCACTTAGAATCATAGAATGGTTTTGGATGGAGAAGACCTTTAAGATCACTGAGTCCAACCAGCAAACCAGCCCTAAGTCTGCCATGAGACAATGCTCCTAAGCACATCTACTTGTCTTTTAAACACCTCCACTTCTCCCTCTCTTAGCTGTATCAGCTGTATACAATTCAAAGGAGCTAAAATAGGTTAGTTTTGTATCACCAGCACTGCCATACCACCTCTGAAAACAATTCTTCCGCTCTCCCTATACTGTGGCACTACTTTCTCCTCTTTTGCCACTGCCTATGCCAGAAAAGCAGAGTAAAAGTGACACTGGTCTATTTGAAGCTGTGTGTTCTACCTTCAGCAGATACATCAGGGGATTCATATTTAAACTTCAGTGAGAAAAATGGAAGGGGAAAAGCCCAATACACTTCACTGTGGACTGTACGATAACCTAAAAGGGCCAGCAAGAGCTTGGCATCTCACCCTCTTAATGCCTCTCACCTTCCATTAGGTCAGCTCCCACTCCTCAAAGGGTTTCCTCATTGCATACCCTGTTTGCTTAGCATTTATGTTACTGCTGGAAAAAACGAAGTAAGGTTTTTGGGGTTCAAAAGAACACCTGTGATTGCCCTGTACACCATCCCACAGCTTTGGCCCTTTCCCCCATAGGTATCATGAGACACAAATAGCCCTGGTTTCTGATGCTGGTCCACGAAAGTCTCACATCACCTCCAAGCAAATGGAGAGCGACCAACAAAAACCAACCATTCCACATACAAAAGGAAAGGACTTTTTCTCAGAGGCATATCACAACTAATCATAATTCTCCACCCAGGAGAGAAATCCCTTTGAGGACATGCGATACTCCAGGAGAGTGGAGGGCCACAAGAAGCTCCAGCACTGTCAGAGCTGACCTTTGGACTTCTCTGCATTATTTTTCCCATTGCCATCCCCTGTGCCCACAGCTCTCTACTCTCTGGCAGCTCCCTGAAGAGGCCTCCACTCATTCCAGCACCTTGTTATTGGGGATGGGGGACAAGCCGAGGCTCACAGAGGGTGTGCTCTGTGTCCATGGGGCATGGTGGCCCTCTCCTTTCTCTATGAAATGCGCCAATGAGCTCTGCTGAGCGAAGGAGCGTGGCTGGGACGAGGCAGCAGGGGCCAGAGTCTGGGCTGCATTTGCTGGAAATGGATGTTAAGATGTTTGAAAGATGGAAAGAAGGGCAGAAGATGGATTAAGCAGGGTCAGTAATTACACTTGTTGGAGAGCTGAGGCCTAAGTGAGATGTAGAGTGTCTGTGAGAAGCAGCAGAATGGCTCAAGAAGGAGAGAAACCAATGCCAAAATCTTGCAGACTGATACTGTAGACAGGAGAAGGGCTGAGGAAACGAGAGGATAAAAGTGCACAGCTACACTGACACAGATAGAGCTGTCTTGATTTCACCCCACCCTAAGGTAAGTTCATTTTAGAAAGAGAAGGGGAAAAATGAGAAATGAGACATGAAAAAAAAAATCCACTTGGAGCCGTATCCAACACCAAAACATTCAAGTAGGCACAGGATCAAATCCAGCTCCCACTGAGGTCGACAAAGATTTCCATTAACTGCAAGGTACGCTGCAGCAGGCCCTCCGCTTCAGATCGTTTCTGGTGAAAACCAGGCCAAAAGCTGTCAGCCGCAGCACAGGGTGAGAAACGCGGCCGTGGGCCGCATTGCAAACCCCAGAGCCAGCTGTCAGCCTGCACGGAGAAACACAAGCCACTGGCAGCGCACACAAACCACAAGGGAACAGAGCGCTCCTGGCCCCAACTCATTCCTTGCATTCTGTGTATTCCCTCTGGAAGGAAGGTGCTTTTAGGCACCTTTTTCTTCCAAACACCACCAGCTGTTGGTGAAAAAATAAACTGGAAAAACTAAAGGTGAAAAGCTACCAGGGTAAAATATGCTTTCACAATTAACTGTAATAATTTTATAATTAATGTTACAGCTGCAATATTAACATGAGGTTTCAGTGGTCAGCTGTGGTTCTGGACTGATCTAATGGAAAACCAAAGTCAGGCCGTGAACCACAAAGCAGATTGAGGCAACTCTGCAGGATCCCAAATTTGTGGGCTCATAGAGAAAAATCGCAAGGGGGATGTTTCCCAGCTAATTCCTATAGTGGGCTGCCCAAACCTGCACTGTCAAGGTGCTCTCTGTTATTTCCCCAGCCTCATGCTGGCAGAAGGCAGCCGTCCAAGAGATTGCAAGATTTTGCTAGAAGGAATGAAGGCCACCTTCGAGCTCAGATGCTCACCAGGGAAAATCCTTGTTTGATGGTAAACAGATATTTGGATGTGTGCATATACAGACTTCACCTCCCTCTCCGCTCTGCAGGCGATGTGAAAGGCTTTCCCCATTTTACCCTCCCGCCTGGCTGTGTTCCACCAGCATTGGCAGAGGTTTGCGTTCTTGCCGTACTACAGGGTTGTCCAGCAACATTTTTCATTCAGAAAGCTCCGCGTTGCCAAGATGTATTCATCATCGAAGCGAAGATTGCACAAGAGGTTACAATAAGCAAGACTTTTTCCCAAGAACATTGTGTCTGAAGGAGACAATAGGTCCTCCAAGATTTGGCAAGGGCAGTTAGTGGCTAACAACAAGAAAAATTAATTACTTGCTTTCCATTCACAACGAAGGATGGGCGACAGATGCAGGAAACAGATACAGGTTCCCTGCGG